AGAGAGAGAGACATACACAGAGACAGACAGACAGACACACACAGAGAGAGAGAGACACACAGAGAGAGAGAGACAGCAAGACGCACAGAGAGAGACAGAGAGATCGCAAGAGAGACACAGAGAGACAGAGGGAGGTTCAGTCTGGTTTTAATGGTGCGACTGTTTCCCCGGGTTTAACATAAACACCATTAACAGGCTGATCAGAGACAGATACAGAATCAACAAAATCTTTGTATAAATTAATCTTTCCAGCAGCACTAATTCGGAACGACCCCCTCCCAGGTGGGGGGCGGAAAACAAATAAGTTAAGAGATGAAACAGGTCGAAGGGGCGGATGGGCAAAGCACAGCAGGATCCCAGTCCCACCAAAGGATTGTACACCCCTTGGAAGCTGGGATACCCTCTCGGATACATGTGCAGTTTCTGCCGACCTGTCTCTCTGCAGCATCCCTTCTTAAAACTAAGGCACATGCGATCAAAGTGTTTGGTATCACCAGGGAGGCTGTGGGGGCTGGCCTGTTGGATACTGTACAGAGTCGAGGTTTGAACCCTGACATTGTCTCTATGGGTCTTCCCTGAACCGCAGGGAGGGTGCAGAGTGGGTGGGAATGGCCCGAGACTGGGCACAGGGCTCCCAGTCAGAACCATCTGCCCAGCACTGGGCACTGATGACGCATGAGGTTCCAACCTCTTGCACCCGAGCCTGGCAAAATGTTGGAGCAGCCAGAAGTATTTACAGATCTCTTCTCCAGTACCCGGGGGGGGCAGCAGGAGGCAGGGGGTGTTGGGTTAACGGGGAAGGAGGCACTGTACAAATCACACAGGGACCAGTGCCTCAAAAGCACTGGATTCCTCAAGGGTCACTATCCATGTCTGCTGAATGTCGGACAGGAGCAGATGGAATAATGCCCCCCCCCATCAAATAATTCAGGCAACTGTCACCCCACAGGGACCCTGTCGTAAAACAGTGACGGTGGGCTTCAAAGCCCTTGCCCCGTCCTCCTGCTGGACACAGACCTGCCCCCCACCCCCCCAACAAAAACACAGCACAGATGTTTAACACAAAGCAGTAGCAGCTCCCCTCCCCTCACAGTCCAATCAATACAGGCAACATTTCAGTAAAAACATTTACCCCTACCCCCACCCCACACACTCTCCAGAACGCCTCATGGACCAGCGATTTCTGAGGATCTACAGATCAGGCAGCTACAACATCCGTCAGTCTGTTCCTGAGGTGGGGGACTGTGTCTGTCTGCATTTGTGTATCTGCCTGTCGGCACGTGGGCCTGTGTTTAACCCTCAACAGGTCAGACTTAATTAGACATCTGTACGTCCAGGCGCGTGCGGGCCCGCGCTTAGGCTGCCGTATGTCAGCGTGCCGGTCCGTGTGTGTGGGTCTGCGTTTATGTGTCTGCCTGTGGAGATCTGTGTGTATAGTGGGGGGGGGGGGGGGGGGGTAGGGGACCACGTGGAGAAAGGATGTCCCTATGGTCCATCAGTTGCCCTGCCCAGGGGCTGGGGCTGAGGCTGGGGACGGGCTCTGGAGGGTGGGGGGGGGGGGTGGGTTGGTCTCTCTGTAGCCCCCGGCCCACGCCGCCTGTTCCCCGGTTGGCAGTGCAGTAACCAGGCAGCACGGTGACAGTCTGTTGGTTAGAACGCTGGTAGCTGACAGTATAGCAGGTAAAGCAGAGACATTAGGAAGACATAAAACGCAGAGAAGGCAGCGAGCTGATGGACTGGGCAGCTCGGAGCGGGCTCCACACATTCCAGAAATAATTCCACTGTCCGCGCCACGTTCTGCAGCTCACCCAGCAACACATTGGACGGCAAGCAGAGCTCAGGCTGTGGAAGACAGGCAACGGGGATGGAGGGCAGGGGCAGAGAGAGAGGGGAGGGTGCAGGGAGAGACAGAGAGAGGTTAAACATTGCAAACGCTACAAGACCCGAGTGGATTTTGGACACATGACGTTTCCCCGGGTTGTTGGAGCTCAGAAACATCACACAGCGAGTCAGACACGGGAAACAAACATTCACCACCTCCCGCCCCCTCCCCTCCCATCAGCACAGGGCAGTTTATAACAGCTTGGAGTTAAACGTCCCCCTCAGGCCCAGGAGCACAGGGGTTGGAGGGCGGAGAATTAGCACTGTGACCCAGACATAGAAATCATTGCCCCTCCACTGAACCCCACCCTGTCAGAGAGGGGGAGGGAGGGGCAGGGTCTGAGTGGGGAGTAATTAACATTCCCCTTGCATGGAACATGGGCATCGCTGGCAGGGCCCAGCATTTATTGCCCCGTTTCTAGTTGCCCCCCTTGAGAAGGTGGGGGTGAGCTGCCTTCTTGAACCGCTGCAGTCCATGTGATGTGGGTTGGCCCACAATGTCCCTTAGGGAGGGAATTCCAAGAATTCTGACCCAGCGACACTGAAGGAACGGGGATATATTTCCGAAGGGCCTGTACTGCGCTGTAATGTTCTATGTTCTATGTTCTAAGTCAGGATGGGGAGTGGCTTGGAGGGGAACCTGCAGGGGGTGGTGTTCCCATGTACCTGCTGCCCCTTGTCCTTCTGGATGGAAGTGGTGACAGGGCAAATCCAGGTGACACTGAGGAACAGGGGCCTGGGGTGACCACAAGAGAAATGTGGGACCCTCAAGGTGTGAACTGGAACAGATCCAGAATGGGTTGACAGCAGGTGATCCTGACTGAAGCAGAGCAGGAGGGGTTTTTGTGGCACAGTGCTAGTGCTCCTACCTCTGAGCTGGGAGGCCAGGATACAAGTCCCACCTGCTCCCAAAGAGTGTAGTAAGATCCGTGAACAGGGTTAATGTGAAAACACTGTAGGAGCTGGTGGAAGCCCAGAAGAATGGGCTCACATTCTCATCAGTCGCTTCTCCATCCCACATTCAACAAGATGGATTAGGACAGAATATACCATACGGGGGTGTGGGGGGGTGGATTTCTCCTGCAGGGGGGTGGGCAATGTGGAAACAAAAGTCGGTTCTAAATGACAGATTTACAGTGAAAGCTTTAGCATACAGAGCTCTGTGTTAGAGGGGGGACAGAGACTGAGAGACTGCCTCCCAATACATTTCCTCCCAGCCAGGGATCACAGACCCCTCCCTCCCCTATACCCCAGGGCTGGGTATTAAACCTGTAAACAGGAGACAGATGCTACGCCCAATGCCCACCCCCCCACACCCCAAACACAGGGGAATTACCTGCGGCACTCCGACCTTCCGACACGCCTCCAGGAAACTCTCCACATTTCGCCGCCTCTTTGCCAAACTTAACTTGGGCTGAGGGCGAGGGAGACAGAGAGAGAGAGAGAAAGAGAGAGAAAAATGTGAGGGGGTGACAGTAGGAGGGCGGGGGGCGAGTGAGGGAATGGGGGAAGTGAGATTTCTCAAACACTTCACACAAAATCCACGTGAGACTGAGTCTCTACCCTCTGTCAGGCCCCTCCCCAATTCAAGGGGCGTTAGGGTGAGTGCCTCACCTTTCACTCCCTTGCTATATCACTCCATCCCTCCCTCCCTCTTTTTCTCCCTCCCTCCCTCTCCCTCCCCACCCCTTGCCCTACCCAACCTCCCCCATTTTCCACCCACCTTTCCCTACTCCCCCCACTGACCCTCCCTCACTCTCTGGCTTTCCCACCCACTCTCTTCCCGCTCCCCCCGACCTTGGTCCATTGCCCCCCTCACTCCCTCAGCGCAGAGGGTGGCTGGACAGGTCCCAGAATAAATCCCTCCTAACAGCTCCGAGATCCACCGAACATCAAACTAATTACTGTGCCGGCGCCTCCCAACCCCTCACTCACCCCTCCCAATCTCTGAATACCGTAGCCCCCACCACGGTGGGGGGGCAGCTGCTGCCGTTACTCACCACAGCGGGAGAGGGGATGTGGATGATGGAGATGGATCTCGGTCGGATCTGATTCACCAGCTGACAGAGGGTCACTCCGTTGTTCAGCGCCTCCCCTAGATCGCTCGGCAACGTCTGCTTCAACCGGCTCTCAATGCTCTGCCCGAGAAAACCAACACCCACTCTACATCAGAGATAGTAGGAACTGCAGATGCTGGAGAATCCGAGACAACAAGGGGTAGAGCTGGATGAACACAGCAGGCCAAGCAGCATCATAGGAGCAGAGAGGCTGACGTTTCGGGCCTAGACCCTTCATCAGAAAAGGGGGAGGGGAAGGGGGTTTTGAAATAAATAGGGAGAGAGTGGGAGGCGGATAGAAGAGGGATAGAGGAGAGGATAGGTGGAGAGGAAACAAACAGGTCGAAGAGGCGGGGATGGGGCCAGGAAAGGTGAGTGTAGGTAGGGAGTTAGGAAGGGGATAGGTCAGTCCAGGGAGGACGGACAGGTCAAGGGGGCGGGATGAGGTTGGTCGGTAGGAGATGGAGGTGCGGCTTG